CATAACTATTAATATTGACATGAAAAATTTGTGTTTTATATTAATCGTTATAAAAATTTAACGGCATTAATAAACAGATAACTCGGAGGCAAATAAACCCCCATGAAGGCTGCACACCATCCGTCATTCCGTCAACTAAGGGGTGAGGTGAGAGAGCTGTCCTTGAATATATATCATCTCCCCGTAGTTTGTTCCTTTCGTGAGACGCATCGGCGTTTCTTTTCAAAAATAATTTAAACTGTGACTGAGAAGCTAGCTCTCATTTTTATTATAAAAAAATTCGTAAATTGATGCTAGATCATAGTTCTCAATTTTGTCTGCCACATAATCCCTCCATCTTTATGTATAGAGTATTTTTTTAAAAATTTATTTTATCCTTAAATATAAAGGATATAATAATATTTTTAAATAATTAATTAATTTTGCCATAGTTTTGAAAAAATGGAAGATATATTAATAGTGTTTTTTATTCACTACCACCATGATTTTAATTAATATTATTAGGGATAAAATTAAAAATTTATTATAATTTAATGTGATTTTAATTAAATAACGAATTTTTATTGGTATGTAAGATTCGGTTAAAAACACCTTATATATAGAAATGGAGAGAATATATTTTAAAAATTTGAAATATCACAGCACCTCCTAAAGCCTGTTTAAAAATAAGATTTATAAGAAAAAAAACCTAATTACCTCTGGCGTTTAACAAGTATTGCTATGACATAAAGAACAAAACATTCAACTATTAAGAAGATACTATAGGTATAATATGTAGACATTTGTTCCCAAACAAGTTACAAAAATTTTTGAAGTCTTGTTTCAGTATAAACAACAATACATTCGGTTATTGATAAGTTACTATATGTAATTAATAAATAGACATTCATTCATGAACAAGTTATAAAAATTAATAGGCTTCATTTAATTTTATAAGTTTTGCTCCTAAACAAATAATGAAACATTTGGTTATTGAAAAGCTGCTATACATAATTAACAAGTGGATATTTGTTTATAAACAAATTATAAAAACTAATAGGCTTCGTTTAGTTTTTTGAGTCTTACTATAATATAAACAACAAACCAAACCTATAAGTTTTTGTAACCTGTTCATCAACAAATGTTTGCTTAATAATCATATATGATAATTTGTTAATAGTTAAATGATTTCTTAGTTATATTGGAGAATGACTTGTAAAACGCCTTAGGAATAATTAAGTATTTTCTTTCAAAATTTTATTTTCAAATATGTATGTGTCCGGGTGCAGTGATATTTCATATTAATTTATGACCCTTCTTTAATATTAAAATGTTACAGGTATCCTTAATGACATTGTCGCACCTTAATACTAAGGGTATGACTAGCAAGAAATATGAAATAAATTCATATTTCATAAGCCTTAATTACATGAGGCTAAGCTAAAATATCGATAACTAAATTATATATATAATTATATAGTTAAAAATAATAAATAAATATTCTGTCAAAATTTTGGCAAAATTTTTCCTGTAAATTAGACCTCCTAAAATTTCTATAATAACCCAACCTGTCGGCCAATTCAGTAAAAGAGCTTAGCTCCATACCAGCAGATTATATATCAACAAAATTAAAAACTATGATCTAACTATTGTACATGTGGAGTATTGATATACAATCATATAATACAAAGTTTTACCACAAAGGAATATTCACAATGCACTTCCCTTTTCCAAAAACAATAGGGTTCCTCAATAGTCCACAAAAGATGTAAGGTCAGTTACAATATTGAAATTAAATATTTTTGGTGAGTAACGTTCCAATCAAAACTATAAATAAATAGTAGATATTTATGAAGAGAGTGACTAATAAACTTAATTGGAAAGCAATTAAATGAAATAATTAAACATATACTTAATTAGCAATAAATAACAAGTTTTCTCAATAACATAATCATGAAATTTAACAATGCTAATAAAATCATATAAATGTATTAAAATTTTTACTGCTTATAAAATACAAAAATTTTCAATAATAGTGCAATTCAATAAAATGCTTTTAGAGAATCAATCTAAAAATGAGAAAATTTAATTTAAATCTAGGAGGGCTTTATCAGAATGAATAACAAGCGTGGACAAACAGTCTATGACGGCAAATAATTAATCAAGTGTGGACATATAGTCCACGAGGTTAAGTAACTAATCAAGTGCAGCTGAAAACCACAAAACAAATATGGTAAGAACCACGAATCAAGCGCAGACATAAAGCCCGTAAAAACAAGTGTGAGTGCGATGCTCATCAAATCACCATCCCTCCATTCTACATGCGTTGGCCATTGCATAAGGCTAACACCTCCTATAAACACTCTACTAGCTAAGTGTACCATGACGCGCCACAGGCTAACGGAATTGCTGTTAGCATCTAGTGTTCTAAACTCAGTCCCCCTTTGTAAAATCAAGTGTGTGTGGAGTAAGAAAAATAATTTCAAAATGTTTACTTTCAAATACTATTCAACTATCTTTCTTCATTACCCAAATTTATTATCATTTCCTCCATACACGAATCATTGTATAATAGAATTAAGTAATTAAACTACTTTTGAAAAATAATACCATTATATATCCATTTTAATAATTATTTATCAATAATATAAATTATTAGTAAGATCAAAACATTGTCATTAGTAAGACAATTATTAGAAAAATCAGATTTACAAAGATATTTATACAATTTATAAAAGAATAATAGTAAAACTTAAATAAAGATATTTTTATAAATATTTTATTAAAAATTTACTTGAAATGCCACCCACTCACTTGAGGGTTTTTAAAAATTTTATAATTTGACCTCAAGTTCTCATTTACTTTAGTGATACTGCAAATGATCTAGCACATAAATCAATAATCTTTGTACCATTATAATTTTCTTTTTGAATATAGACAAGCAAAATTAACATTCAAGCTCTTCAATAATTCTCTAAATTTTTCATTAACCCCTTAAACTCTCACTGAACCCTCTAACAACTTCTATCAGGTAGTTCAGCAATACTTAGTAACATTTAACTGTAATAATTAACTTAGCTCTTATTTCAAACTTAACAAAAATCTTAATTATCATATAGTTTAACAATTTTCCTTTAAGTGCTACAAGATTCTCATGTGTAGTTCAAATTTACAAATTATATGTAAAGACATATATTCCATCAAGTAACATTTATAGTTCCTCTAGGTCCTATTGTGAAAATTAAGTAATCATATTTCCAACAATTCTTATGTTCAAATACCTTAAAACATAATATAAACCAAATCATATGAAACTTCATACTTCACAATATACTCATATTCAATTTGCAAGTAATAATTAAGAGGCATTGTCTTCATTTGAGTTTTAATTATACTTGAGTCAATTAAATTATTTGATAAATCTTAATTCATCCTTAAGTCTTTTTATAACCCATCTTCAATCATAAATTATAATAGACTATATTAATTATTCTTATATACCCTTCATTTAGACTTAATAAAACACTATACAAGCATAAGATGTAATTCTTTCTCCTCCTTTGCTCTTTTAAAATCCTAAGCACTAGTTCAAGTCACCATGCTTATAATCTTTTAAAGTTATATTATGCCAATTTAACAACACTCTTTCAAGCATTTTTACAAATATTTTAAGTGCACACCATGAGCTATAAATCATGAAATCAACATTCAAATCTTCTAACAGTTTCAAATATTTAATTCTACAACCTAAATTCAGCTCAATATCAAAATAGAGTAACACCCAACCTAAGCCAAACAGCACCTCAATATCCTAAAAAATTTTCGACAGCCAGAATTAGAAAATGAAGAACAATATCGGAAGCTAGAGGCAGAGAAGAGATTGAGCTCACCACATAAACCCCTGTGATACTTACAGTTGAGAAAGGATGAAGAGATGAAGATTGAGGGCGCACAACACACACCTCCATCGACCACAGAGCCGCAAAGAGACGGGATGACGACGGAGGAAGAAATCTAACGTTTCCAACACACCGTCTGTAAAAGCGCAGGTGCAAAGAAGGGAGTTGAAGACCACCAACAGATTCACGGGCAGCAGATGAGGAGAAAGGGAAGATGAAGCCCACACAACTCCCACTACATCAACGAAAAATTACAGAGCAAAGAGGTGAGACCGAACCTGTAGTGATGGAGATTGAAGAGGACGCTGGCGGAAGGAGGAAGAATGAAGGGAGAATGATGACTAGAGGCACAATAATGTGAGCTCGCTAGAATCGAAGAGAAATAGAGAGTTCATGTCGGTGAAGAGAGGAAGGAAATGAAAAGAATGCTCTGCTCCTAACGCGTTAAAAAGAACAAAATCTGAACTAAAAATAATATGGAAAATTGCTCTTCGAAAAATTACAAAAAAGGTACAGGAAAAATTACAAGAAAGGCATGAGAAAAATTATAAGAAAGGACACAAATTTTTTTATAATTTAAAATAAAATAAAATCAAACTTTTACTCAATAGAATTTGAATTCTAAATGTTAAAGAAGTTACTAGTATAAGTTTTATTTAAACTATCACTCTCACTTGCTACAAAACTAATTTAAATAAAATATTAATTAAAAAAAATTAATTTAATTTAATTTAAAATTTAAGTTCATATATTTTCGTAGTTTAAAACACTCTTGAAGTGAATTCGCGTGAACGGTAAAGAATGAAGTGAATAGAGCTTGCTCCCTTTACTGTACGTACCATGACTAATGCTAATGGCGCAGAATGTATGTAAAAAGAGACAAGACCAATAACCGAAAGCTGAGCTTTCATTCCATGGCCCGATCGACTCCACTCGTTTTAAGGATCTTTAATGGCGCAAACACACCAAATCAGCTTTTGATTACGGGAAAACGTTGACGCATGATAGATTCATATTCAATAAAGGTAGAGATTTGGAATATCAGAGCTGGAACTCTCCAAGCTTCTAGTTGTTCATTGAATGATCATGGGAGATTTTTATGCAGCAATGAATCTTGAAAAAGCACAAAAATGAAATCATCATTTCAAAAGACTAGCCAGAGTTGTTGATAACAGAATAGAGTGCTACTCAGCAATTGGGAGAATTAATGCAGGGAAATGTAATTAGAGTTTCAGAGAATGAGTTTCTCAGATTCTCTATTACTGGACTGCGGAACTTTACTGAAAATAGCTCTGACAAGATCAGCGTAGAGGGGGAATTGAGCTACGGCGTAGAATGTCAGAGGCAAGATAGTGGCGGCGTAGAGCGGGAATACAGCCTGCTTGAGGTTGTCCTTGAGCACGAAGAAGAACGCGGCAGAGAAAGAAACCAATATGGAAGCGATGGACACAAATAGGGAACTCAACCCCAAAAGAAGCTTGAGAGGCAAATCTTTGCGGAAATCTCTAGGTTGCTGGCGGGAAGTGAGGATGGCGAGGAACATGGTGAGAGATGTGATGGAGCAGCAGAGAGCCAAGAGGGAGGTGAATGCAAACATGTTGAAAGCTGGGTGGCGCTCCAAGTAAGGCTTACCGGTCTCCTCCTGAGTACCGCCGGGGATGGTGGTAGACGTGGTAAAGGCCACGCCGGCAATAAGGGCGGCCACGACGGAGCACGACTCCGACGTGTGGTTGAGCCACTCAGCGCCTTCTTTGACCAGGTCCTCGTGATCTTTTCTGAAAATCTCCACCGGTGTTTCCTGGTTGTTGTTGGGGAGGAATGGCACATAGCAGGGCGTTATATCCTTGATGTACTGCAAGAAAAGCCATAGATTGCATGTAAATGATATGGCTTTAATTGAAGAAGAAGAAGCAGAATGAGAAATAAGATATACCAGAAACCATTTCATTTCCCACTGCATCTGCAAGGCAGATCCAGGGATGTGCCAGGGCTTGCACCGGGAGAGCCTGGCGGCCAAGTGGAGGACAGTGTTGCCATCATTGTCTACGCCTCCAGTGAGGTTTTTCCATAGCCTCTCCTTCTCGAGAAGCTTAAAAACATGAGGTTGCCTGTACTCAACAACCACGTGCAATACATTTTGGCCCTGGGAGTTAGTTTCATGGATGGCCCCTGGTTTATCCTGTAGAATTTTCTCCAGAATTTCCAGCACTCCATTTTTGGCTGCGATAAATAGTGCGGACTCCTTTTTGTCCCATTCTTTCTTCTCTCCATCGCCTGCAAGTAAATCTAATGATTTATGGTATAGAGGTGCTGTGCAGTGCGATCTGAATAACGAAATAGAAGATATGCAACTCACCTAGGCACACGCAGCTTCCGGTTAAAGCCTTGCCATCAGCAGATCCACTGGTGCTGCCCTTGCACAGGCTTATGAGGAGTTGTCGCAATTCTTGCAAGTTTTAAAATATCAATTTAGACAACAAAAGAAGGAAAAAAAGGAGTAGGTGGGAAATGTTTTGATGTTTACCTTCCTTCGGCTTCTCTTTCCCATCATCATTTGACTTCTTCAGTTTGTTCACATCACCTGCAGCTGCAATTATTGAATGATAGATGGGCGACATTCTATTTAGAAATTTTGGCGCAAGTCTTGTCATCCATATAATCTATAGTTATATATACATATATGCTAATCAGGTATTTTTAGGCTCATTCTTTTAAGTCGATCGCTTATCCTTTTCTTTTGTTGAAATTCTAGCTTCACGAATTTAATAGATGTTAGATAAAAGGTAGGATATGGATAACTCCCCAGTGCTACCACAAAGGTCAAGAAGAATAAAGGTGCAGTCAGCTGGTTCATTCATTGTTCTCTCCCATTCTATCCACTCTCCCAAATTCCCGTGTCAATATTGTTAATATAATGCTTCAACATTTATGTTTCTCGATCCACATGATAAGGAAAGGAAAAAACAAACGATTATCGATTTAGATGTCTCCATGAGGTAGAATTAACGATGGGAGATAAAAATACTGAAAACCGTGTTTGGCATATCGATCTTACGAGATTGGGGAAATTTCTTTCCGTCATCGACGGTAGGAGGTCGAAACAAATAGCTTTGGAGTGCACTTCCACCTCCAACGTATGCTATATCTTTGTGCTTCCACAGTTGATCCAGTATTCGGCGACACCACACATGCTTTTGTTTCTTCTTCTTTAAATCCTTTAGATCCCGTAACCCTTTAAGTAATATAAACAAAACCGCACGTTGTACGCACAGCAGAGCATTAAAAACATAATATCAATGGATAAGATTTATGTATTTAACCTTATGCTTATATCAAATCAAATCATGACATGTGGATCTTAATGTATTAATTTAATTAATGAAAAAAATTTATTATGAAAAAGTAATTTATAAAAAATCCACAAGTCTTGATTTGATTGGATACAAGTATATAAGCCTAAATATATGAGTTTTTTCCTGTATTAATTATATATAAGCACAAGCCCAGCTTGTTAATTACTATTATTAATTATCACTAGGTAGAGGAAGAGAGGGTACCAAGGGCTTCAGGGACAAGCCGAATAAAATAGGCGAATGCACGCGCTGAAATGTCATAACATGTCCAATAATTTGGCGGCACATTTTCATATCCGTCGTCGTGACTTGGGTTTTCTGCATCCGCTGCTCCTTTTTACAACAAAACATGAACGGTAGATTTTAATATAATTATAATTTATAAAGGCATATGCATGGATCAAACTCCAAGAGCCCACACCTAGCTTTCTTCCTTCATGAATCTATTATCTACTTCAAAACTGACTGAGTAAAATTCAAAGAGATACATGAGTCTATGTTTTCGTTAATTACTATCGAACTTGCCTGTAGTCTGGGTTTTTTGAACTGAATTTAACCATTTGTTCTTTGAGCGCTGTTCGAGGCTCCTCAATGGCTCCACGATCATGCCTTCCGCCAGGAAAATAAATAAATAAAGATCTCAATATAAACAAAAATTGCAGTTTTTTTTCATTTTGTGGAGGAAATAAATAATTTAATTAACCCGAGAATTGGGCGGCGCACTCGCTAATGATAAAGGGGTCAATTATTGAAGTAACTAGGAGATAGTATTTCTTGAAAAATATAAGCAATAATTATAATTTAATTTTTTTAAAATTAAATTAAAAAATGTCATCCATGCATGTTTAAAGGTGGTACTCTTTTTTTTTGGAAAAATTATATTTATATCTCATGTAAAAGAATTAATTATTATAAAATTCATTAATAACTGAACTAAAATACTTTGTCACAGTTCATTTTGAGATTTTAACGTAATTTCCCCCTTTTTTTTGGAAAAATTATGTCTAGATTTCACGAACAAAAGTTTATTATCGAAAGATCTCATAAATTTTATAAAATACTCCTAATTTTTAAATCCTTACATTGACAACTTAATTAGTGACATTGACAATTAGCAATAACTATTGACAATTGGGTAATGACAAATTGTCAATAACTATTGCCCAATTGTTAATACCTTTAATCAAGTTGTTAATATTTTTAATTAAGTTGTCAATGTGTAGAATTTATGATTTAAGAGTATTTTATAAAATTTATGAAACTAGCAATAAACTTTCATCTGTGGATGTAATTTTTCCTTTTTTTTCCCCTTTCTTTTCATGAACTGCAGCTATCCCTTGTCGGGTAACGCAAGACTGGAGGAGGCCCAAGAAGGGAGAGAAAAGAAGTGAAAAGCGGGGCCCCGTGGATCTTGTCGAAGTTGGCTCCTACTTTTTTTTTTCTAATTTATTTCTAACGAGGGCGAAAAATAAATAAATGCTTGGGTGACACTTACAGTTGTAGACAAGCTTGCTATACCATCTAAAATTGCTGCTGCTTTCGAAGGAGGAAGGTTTGTTGGCCAGGATATGCAGAGGGGTAGTCCCCTTTTCATCCACAGAGCCCACGATCTGGTCTCCGTACAGACGAATTATTTCAAATGCCAACTCTGTGAATGCGAACACGATCCCCAATATTAACAAAGGCCACATACAGATAAATGAATAATAAGAAGTGAGCATTATGATGAAGCTAACATAGCTAATTAAGGACTAACCAAAGTGCTCTCGGCGAATGGTGCAGTGAAGGACCGTCTCTCCATCGCTGGTTCTTTTGCAGGGCCCACTAGACTTGTCCGGGCAACGAGAGTACAGGTAAAGGAAAGCTTCCATGTGGCCGTGAAGAGCAGCCAGAAAGAGAGGCGTCTCTCCCTTCTTGTTGCGAGCTTCAATCGGCTTGTGGTTGCCTTGATCAGCTTCAGCGATGCTTACGCACATCTTGAGGGACCCTCTTGATGCTGCACAGTGCAGTGGGGCATCGCCTCGATCATTCCTTGTTTCCAGCGCCGATAACAGCGTGCCTTTTCTCTTCATTTCATCCACTAGTTGCGCCACCATATCTGCTCTGTCGTCGTTCACCGCCACATGCAAAGCAGTGTCGCCGGAGCTGTTGATTGGTGTCGTGTGAATGTTTTCATCGCTTTTGTATATCATCAAAGCTTCACCCCATTTACCTTGCAGCGTGGAGTTGTATACACTGTGCGCCGTCATCATAACATCCATACCGGAATCCATATGTTGCATTTTGCAGTGATGCGAGAACCAGCAACTCTGTGTGTGTGTTGGACACTAATTAAGATGGTGGTGGTGTCACTTTGCTCTCAAAACTCGCTTTTTATACTGCAAGATTAACGTCTCCCCACTGTGCTGCTAAACTCCTCCCATATGACTGTACATCTACAGTACAGAGGAATCTTTGGGAAGCAAGTAAGCAACAATGTTACCTTTCATTATGGAAGGAGCTAGGTGGTACCTTTTGCGCTCTTTTCATTTTGTTATATATGTGGAGCACGAGATGTTTATCACTTCAAATCTGATGTGATTACCAACGTTAACCTAAAAACATCTCCTACGACGTTATCATGTCCCTCCACCTGAATGTTGTGATTCTGTTCAAGTTGATAATTTCTTCTAGCAAGCACAAGCTGGAGCAGGCTTCAACTTCACGGACAGCGCAGATTCTCTCTCTCAAAATATTGAAGAAAAATGTTAGAAATCTTCCAATTATGTTGTTACATATATATATATATATATATATGTATGTATGTATGTATGTATGTATGTATGTATATGAGAGTTGGGATTCAAATCACCAATTGCTTGTTAAAGTGACAAGAGTTCCTTCAACTCATCTCAATTATAGTTAGCTTGTTTAAGTTGATAAATGCTTGTATATTATCACATAACTATATATTTTGAGATAGATACACGTGTGTGTGTGTGTGTGTGTGATCTGACAATATATCTACTAACCGAACATGCTCTTCGGAAACGATATTAATTTCGTTCAGCAAATTATGGGTTACGGACACGCATGTTAACAACAAAATATGTGAATATAGTGAAGGAGTGCGAATTCAATTTATATTATTTGAAAAATGAAAAAGAAATTTAAATAAAAAGAGAGTGTGACAAAATAGAAAGGGGTGCGAAGAGGATCTGTCTATGAATATATGCACGTCATCTTCCCGTAGTTCATTCCTTTTGTAAGAGACAACCTGATTTCTTTTGAAAAATAGCTTCAACTGTGAGAAGCAAGCTCTCATTGGCCGAAACAAAAGAACCCCAATTTGATGCCAACTCTTCGATTGATTTAGTTCTCATTTTCGTGTGCCTCAAACTTTAAATAGTAAGAAAAAAATTTTCGAGAATTGAATGCGTGTAATGGTTAAAAAAAGCAAAGACTATGTCCCATCCGTAGCAGATCACGCGAAAGCGGAGCCCGCGGGGTGTTTGTTCAGAGTTGAAAGAAACTTCTGATTCATACGTGCCGGCAAAGGGTATTCACTCTAAAGGGACCATTCTCAAATCAAATTAATGTACGCTGCAACGGCACTATTTTAAAGCTCCCCTATTCCCAAAAAGAAAAAAAAAAAAAAAAAGCTCCCCCAATGGCCTAGTGATTCTTTTTAATAATGTTTTCTCTCACTCTTCTTCTTTTCTAATAAATTATCCATGGCTAAGTACCTTCCAAACAAATTAGCAATCTTGAAAATCACAAAATTGATAAATCGGCACTTTAAGAGCTTTCGCTTTAATTTGCCTGCGAAAAGCACCAGCCATGTACCCACGTGCTTCACCGCTAACATAGCAATCTTACAAAAGTGAATGTATATTTCGTGTCCTTCGCCCCGGTAGGATATTTGTGAAAGTTTGATGTGTCAATTTTTGAGATGTTCTGTAGATTGTTAAGAGTAATTAATGTGTTTGTTTCATGATGTCTTTGATCACAAATAAAAAATTCCTTGGCATCCATTAATTTGATTCATTTTTTGAGAAAATCTTAAGTGGATCAAGTGCATTATATCATTTGTAGTATGTCAAATAAAAATATGACATTTAGATGACATAAAAATAAATTAATTTTAATATTAATAAATAGTAGAGAGACATTAAATACAAAAGACAGGTTTAATTACACATTTTTAACCACAGTTATAAAATTAACTGTGGTTATAATATATTAAATGGAAATTTCAATAATTAAAGCTAAAAATTGTGTAATTATAACAACATTTAAACAAAATATTATGTCATTATAACTATTAAAAATTTAACTACAAGTTTTTCAAATTTAAGTTATATATATAATAATTAATAATTATTTAAATAAATTAAATGATATGAACACTATTAAAAAAAGAAAATTTTTAAAAAATAAAGTATATCACAACAGACCATAAAAGGCCTGCGGTAATATCTATACCACAATTTGCAAAAGAAAAAAGTAATTTTTTTCAAACAATAAAGGGTATTATAACAAGCCGTAAGCAGCTTGTCGTGATAACTCACAGCTTCACATAAAAATATAAATAAATGATGCCCATAGCTCTACTTACGGGAATTTAAAACAAAAGAATTTGAAAAAAATAAAGAATATCATGATAGGCCATTACCAGGTTGTTGTGATCTCTCCAGCTGCATTAAAAAAAAATTCTCAAAAAAAAAGATGATTGGGTTATAATGGCATGCCATTAACGGCCTATCGTGATAACCCATGCTGCAATTAAAAAGAGAATTGTTTTTTTAAATTAAATAATTGGGTATCATGGCAAGCCATATCACAAGTAGATTTAACAAAAAAATATTTTTTTCAAAAATAAAATATATCACAACAAGCATTAAAATACATGTCGTGATAACCCATGTTGCATTAAAAAAAAGAAATTTTTATTAAATGATATGCCATTAATGGCTTGTCGTGATATCACTATCTGATTAAAAAAAATTAAAAATTACATAAGGGATATCATGACAACAATTAACGACAGATCTAAGATAGACATGTTGCTAATATGAGAATACAATAATAGTTCCTCCCCAGAACTATCGTTATATGTTTCCTTTTTAAATTTAACCTGCCCCACAGTTGTACTCCACAGTTCATTTTCTCCTTCCTTCCTTTAGCTCGTCGCTCCCTCTCCACCTTCAACTCTCTTTCAGCTGGTAACCGTTAGCTCTCATCCCCTCTACCTTCAGCTTGTGCCTTTAGCTCTCGCAGCCTCCACCTTTAGCTAACATTTTGCCCGTAGCTTACCCTACCCTTCAACTCCATTCCTCTTCCTTTGCCTTCAGCTCTTCCTCTTTCAATGATCCTCCTCTCATCCTTTAGCTCACATTCAGCTCACCTGTAGTTGTGGGTCCTCTTTTTTCAGCCATAGCTGTTGGTTCCCTTTCCTCAGCCTTCAGCTTGCCTATATCCAGGTATTTTAACTGTTTTATTTTTTTAATGTTTTTTCTCAGCTATCTTTTAATATTTTTATAAATTATTTATTTTTAATGTAAATTTCATATAAAATTTTTGGGCATAATTTTACCACCCATTATGCATGTTCAGCTCTTTTTTATTATATTTTTTATTATATTAATTATTTAATTTCAATATACATTTGATATAAAATTTTTAGGCATAAAATATTTATTCTTATTTTAATTAGGTAATAATTTGTTAGCTTTAATTGGTTGTGGATTCTATCTATAGTTATTGATTATTCATTTTTAATTTGTTAAGTAGTCAATTTTTTTAAAATTTCAAAATATAAAATAGTACTTATTTATATTGTAATTTGATAATTATTTGATAGCTTGAGTTGATTGTGAATTCTCAAGAATATAATTGTTAATTATCCATTTAGATTTATTGCAATTATTTGATAGCTTGAATGTGTGAAAAAATTTGAATTGATTGTGGACTAGAGTTTATAATTGTTTATTATGTATCTAGATTTGTTGAAATTAGTCAAATGAGGGTATAATTCCTGAGGAATGTCAATTTACAAGGTGTTATTATGTCAATTTTTTTAATTCATAAGTTAAATTTGATAATTATTTGATAGCTTAAATTGATTGTGAATTCTTAAGAGTATAATTGTTGATTATCCATTTAGATTTGTTACAATTATTTGATAGCTTGAATGTGTGAAAAAGCTTGAATTGGTTGTGGATTAGAGTTTGTAATTGTTTATTATGCATTGAGATTTGTTGAAATTGGTCAAGTGAAGGTTTAGTTCCTGAGAAATGTCAATTTACGAGGCGTTGTGCTGTTAATTTTCTTAATTCATAAATTAAATTTTGTAATTATTTGATAGCTTGAATTGGTTGCGGATTCTTAAGAGTATAATTGTTGATTATCCATTTAGATTTGTTGCAATTATTTGATAGCTTGAATGTGTGAAAAAGCTTAACTTGGTTGTGGATTAGAGTTTATAATTGTTTATTATGCATTGAGATTTGTTGAAATTGGTCAAATGAGGGTCTAGTTCCCAAGGAATGTTAATTTATAAGGCATCATGCTACAATTGTTTTTTTAATTCATAAGTTAAATTAGTTGTTCATATTTGAATTAGGTAATCATGAATCATAGTTGGAAAGATGCTTTGTATACAAGTGATAAATATGAGAGGGGGGTAGACCAATTTTTAAAATTTGTGAAAAACAATGTTCCTAATAATAAAGGATTGTTCTATTGTCCTTGTATTAAATGCTTGAATGGATTGCGATGAAGTCCTGTGGAGATAAAAAATCACCTAATTTGTTTCGGTTTCTACAAAATGTATACACAATAGGTGTTGCATGGTGAATCTAGAAAATGCAATGTAGTGCCACAGGATGAGGATGATAATATGGATTTGTTTGATCGATTAGAGAATATGCTAAGTGATATTGGTGTTGAAGATGTTGAAAAAGTACACAAATATGAAAGCTTATGCAATGATTCAGAGAAGCCTTTGTATCTAGGGTGCACAGTATACACAATTAACAGCTATTTTAAGTTGTTCAACTTAAAAGAAAAATATGGATGGGGCAATAAGAGTTTCACAAAGTTTCTTATACTATTAAAAGAGATGCTTCTAAAGGATAATGAACTTTCAAGTAATTACTATGAGGCAAAAAAAATATTATGTGCAATGAGTTTGGGGTACCAAAAGATACTACTTGCCCCAATGACTATATATTGTAGTTGGAAGAGTTGATATCGTTAGATTCTTTCTCAAATTTGTTGT